GACACATTCTCGTCGCGTTAACTCCGCAACATTCTCCGTCGTGATGTGCGCCAACTGCCAGATTCGAGAAGCGAAGCCTCTCGCTTCCCGCATCATGGGGCTCATCTTCCTCTCGGCTTTTACCTCTTCAGCGATGCATTCATTGAATGCATCAATCTCGACCTGGAACTCGTTCCACCATGGAGCTAGGTCCCTCTCCCATATGAGGTTCGGGAGCAAAGCCGCCGGTCTCACAGCCCCAGGGTCGAAATTCCCCTCCTCCTCCGACATGATCGCCGACGAGCCCGTCGACATCATGTCCTCATCCTTGCACCCGTCGTTCGTTGACGACGGGGCAGAGGCCGGGATGATACCCCCCTCTCCGCCGGGCCCTGGGGCATCCAAAACCCCTGGGCCGGTAGTGATCTTTTTAGATCGTCGTCTTCCCATTTTGATTTGGTTGGTTTTTTGACTTGGTGGCCTTCCAAGGGTGGCGGGCCGAAGCCCTTTTGGCCCCACCAGGCCCATCCATCCACACACACATACACACACACATTCACCCAATGTCGGGAGCCAACCAGATCTCACCCACAGCCCGTTCGGCATGGGAGGCCCTGCCGGGGACCGGGGTCCCCGCCGACATGGCCTGTAGGATCATTGATCCAGCGCTCCCGACATAAACACACATACCAGCTCGGGACCCTCGGGTGCGCGAAACCCGTACCCTACAGGGGGGGCACATGACCCCCCCTGCAGAGTCCCTGAGGGAGCCATCCTGACCCCTGAGGGAGGGCCAGGAGGCTTCGTGGTGGATTCCCGCCCGTAGTATCCCGAGGGACTATCGGGCGGGGGACCGACCTAAAACCTGACTGAAGCCCCTGATCGTATGGGTATTGTCCACCGCGGAACCGCTAACGCATTACTTCACGGTGGACCACCCGACCGGCGTCCTTTAGGAAAGGACACATCCCTCGAGAGGATACTACAGGTATCCCCTCGGAAGGACAATACCCTTGCCCCGAAAGGGCATCGGAGGAAGCCGGGCTACTAGCTCCCCACGGACTTCCCTGGGTCGACGTGCAATGGGATCAGGGCCCCCACCCTTCTCCCTGCCGAACCCGGTCAGTGAGACGGCCGCAGCCGCCCACCCCACACTTAAACGTCACAAGACGTCACCAACTACGTGGACAAACATGTATACACATATATACACAATCCACAATAGACCAAGTAAGGGCCACAGGCCCAGCCCTCAAGGGGCCAACATCAAAGGCCCAATGGCCGACCACAATGAAGGTGGGAGGGTTGTTACTCCCACCTATGAACAAAAGACAAGAAGACCAAGACAACAGACCTGGCGCGGGTGAAGGGGCCGCGGAGTCACCTTGCGGCAACCTCCCCGGCACCCATACCCATCGCCGCTACCTACTAAACATAAACTTGGCGGAGCAGGGAGACCACGAAGTCACCTTTCGGCAACCTCCCCGGAACCCCCCGCATCCACCACTACATACTACGACTAGTGACAAAAACAACACTAAACATTGGGAGCAGAGCTGCAGCCCGGCACAGGGGAGCCACCTCTCCGTGACCTCGCCCGCCCCAGACTGCAGTCCACCCTTACTCACTCGGGACTATCGGGAGCCCCCCAGCAGGGGGCCCCGGAGCCTGCGCGCACGCCAAGGCAGCTCCGGTCTCCATAGGCCGTCCCCCATCGGGACGGCCCGGAGCCTGGCGCCTGTCTTTCGCCTCGGTAGTGCGTTGCCCGGGTGGAGGGGGGAGCGAACCGCACCCCCGCCCACCCAGGACATGGTCAGCCGACCTCCCGCCGTCCGCACAAGTCGGACAGCGAGGGGTGGCGACACACCTCGCCGCTTGGTGTCCATCCACACCGCAGCGGTAACATAACCGCGAGCGATCTACCCGAGACGAGCAGTTTATTCGCGCATGCCCCAACTCGAGGCATCTGAAACACCTCAAGGGGCGGGCGCGAAGCAGCTCCACCCCAAGGGTGTTCCAACCTATCTTCAAGCTGCCCGCCAGCAAGGCCTTCCGGCCAACGACCACCGGGCAGCGCACCCACAGGGTGCTCCAAGGGGACCGCGGCAGAGGCCGGATCAGCCTGACCTGGAAATCCCCCGCGCTGCATCCCCCCAGGGACACTAACGCCTCCAGTACCTCCTCGCGTGTGATGATCCCCTCCCCCATAGACCCACGAAGCCTAAGCTCCATGGTTTTCCGGGGAAGGGAGATCACCACGTCCTTCTCCGAGAGAACCCCCCGCAGCCTATCCGCGAACAGGTTCGCCTTCTCCGCCGTGCCTTTTCCAGGGACCTGCAAAAGCAGGCCCCCAGTCGCACCAAACCGCATTGACATTGGGCCAATGCCCAACTCCCCAGGGTCAAAGCGGGTCCTGGCCTCTCTCATGATGTCCGCGTAGGACTTTCCCCCCGTTGCTAGGAGCTGCACCGCCGAAGTACTCGGGACGCGTGCAGCCCGCGCCACATGGCCCCGCCGAACACCCGGTCCGGAACCAGCCACAGGTCCAATCACACGGACCCTCCCAGGACCCGAGCCCCCCACCTCCCCGGCAGCCGAATCAGCAACCGACGGGGACGAAGACCCCAGCCCCAGGAAGGAAACCTTCCCTCTCGCGCCACGACCCCGCCTCCCACGCACAGGCGTCGAGGACGGGGGAAACCTCCTTGACCGGGGGGACAGAGGCAGGCGACCCTGTCTCCTTCCCCCGGGAATCCAAAGAGGACCTGAGAGACTCTACAGTCCTCCTCAGGTCCTCGAGCGCCCCATTTACGCGCCTCTCGATGAGGAGATCCACCCGCGCTAGAAGCTGCTGCCCTCATGGGGGCCGGTGTTGCTCCAGCCCCCGCGATTGCCACCCTTTGGGGCCGCCGCCGCCCGCCCATCCGAAGATGGGCCGAACGACGACGGGGGATCCCGGGAGCGGCATGAGGCCGAGACGCCTCTTACGAGGGCGTCTGGGCCTATGTGTAGGGTCTCCTGCCATCTCTCTCTCTCTCTCCGCAGCCGCCTTGCTGCCCATGACACGGGAGGAGAAGTGGCAGAAGGCCTGCCACTTCTTCTCCTTCTCCTCACCCTCACCGGCTATTGCATCAACGATAGCCGGTATCGTGAGGTATCCTACCCGCAACTTCGCCCGGAGCTCGCGTCGCTCCTCCGCCCAGGCGGGGCACTCTTGCAGTGTATGAGCGACGGAGTCCGGCGCGGAGTTGCACGCGCGACACGTTGGTGCGGACTCGCGACCGATCCGAAACAGATACTCTCTGAAGCAACCATGCCCGGAGAGTATCTGTGACATCTCGTAAGTGAGACCACGGCTGCCGTCCATCCATCTATCGAAGACGGGTTGGACGGCCCTGACGATCTCCAAGTGGCCGTAATCGGCCAGTTGGCGTTGCCACTGCGCCATTAGAGACCGCCAGGCTTGGGACCTGGCCACTTCGACTTCGCGGTCCAATTCCTCGGAGGCCCCCCTGGGTACCCCCCGGCGGATCTCCTTTGTACGTCGGTACAATTTGTAGTACATCTCCGCCAGGAGATCCAGTGGTGGGACCCCCGCGAGGATATGCGCCGCCATGGCGGATACGGTACGGTAGCAGCGCGCGATCCTCTGTGCCGCGCGCCGCCCCATCTGCAGGAGGACTCTTCTGTTGTGCGGCGACGCGCGCCCACACCGGGGCCCCGTAAAGGGCCATGCTCCGTATCACGCCTAGGTATAGGCGGCGCACCGCGTGCTTGGGACCCCCCTTATTGGGGAGCACTCGGCCCAACGCCAGAGATGCTCCCTTTACACGGGGGTCATTACGTCGAGGTGGCTTTTAAAGGCCCAAGAGCCATCCAGGAAGAGGCCGAGATATCGCATCTTGGCCCCTGTCCTGATGTGTGTGGTCTCACTCAACCGGATCGTCGTCACCGGGCCCGGGACCCGCCGCCTAGGCGCATGGAACCATAGCGCCTCGGTCTTACGCAGGTCTACCCGGAGACCTAAGTCGCGAATCCGCGCGGCCAATTGTCGCGCCCCTACCTCGGCTCGAGAGTGGGCCTCGAGCCAGTCCGCCCCCGTGGCCACGAGTAGTGTGTCGTCTGCGTAGCAGACTACCGTGACCCCCGGGGGCAAGATGGTCCGCAGAACCGTGTTAACCCCAAGTTCCACAGGGTGGGGCCCAACACGGACCCTTGTGGAACTCCCGCAGACACGGCCCTCCGACGTATCGCTCTCTCACTGTCTGTGTATTCCACCCACCTGTCCCTTAGGTAGGCGTCCAGCACCCGGCGGAGATAGGGAGGCACCGCGTGCTCGCGCAACGCCTCCCTTATCTTACCCCATGGGAGGGTATTAAATGTGTTTACTATATCAAACGATATAGCTAGCGCAACACCCCCCCGGGCGACACAGCTCTTCGTGAGGGACCTCACATGCTCAATAGCATCGATGGTCGAGCGTCCCTCACGGAAACCGTACTGGCACTCCGCCAGGTCTGGCCCCACGTGGGACAAGTGCTCGACGAGGCGATTGACGATTATTCTTTCGAACAATTTGCCCACCTCGTCGAGCAGACAGATCGGCCGATACGCCGAAGGCGAGTCCGCGGACCGTCCCTCCTTGTGGAGGAGCACTAGCTTAGCGCCTCTTTACTGCGGGGGGAACTCACCCCGGCTCAGGCATGCATTGAAGAGCCTCCTGAGCCGGTGACCGAGAGCGTTGCGCGCCACGACCCAGACTCGGCCATGAACGCCGTCTGGACCCGGAGCCGTGTTTTTGGCTTCCAGACGGCGCATGGCCTTGTTGAGTTCATCCTCCGTGACCCCCAGATCGTCCTCGGACCAGGATACGTCCTGGTCTTCTGGGCGAGGCCGCTCCTGCCCCTGAGTGCCAGGGAACAGGGTGTCGACGACCCCGCCCAAGAACTGGGGGTCTAATGACTCCGTCACCGGGGGGCCCATGCACGCAATTTCTTGCGTACAAGTTTGTACGGCCGCCCTCACGGGTCCTGGTCCAACGTGAGGATGAACTCTTCCCATGCCCGGAATTTTGTCTTACCGATGGCCCCCGAAAGAGCCTCGCGAGCATCGCGGTACTCTGCTCGGAGGGCCATCTCAGTCTCCGCGGACATCCCCGCCCCGACTGCTACTCCGCCCTGGAATGGACGTCGTAGCTCCGCATACCGGTGGCGCGCCCGGAGGCACGCATTCCGGAGATCCTCGATCTCCGTACTCCACCAGTACACGGAACGCCGGTTTGGGGGTGCCGCTCCTGTCCTTGGCATGCACGCGTCCGAGATGTTCGTTGCAACATCCCGGAGCGCGGCAGCCTCCGACTCTGTATCCGGGCATGAGTCCTGGTCTGCGTCTGGGTCCCATACCGCGGCGGCGATGGCCGCTCGCAACGCGTCTCGATCCAGGCGCTTCAGCGCCCATCTTGGTGAGCTGCTCGGGTGGGTGTGCCGAGGAGGTACCCTGCTGGACGGGGGACGCAGATCAAAGGCGATATATCTATGATCGGACAGCGTCTCCTCGTCCATCACCCTCCACCCTGACACCGTGGCGGCGACATCAGGGGTCGCGAACGTTACATCCACAATGGACGTCCCCTGAGCGCGGACGCACGTAGGCTCGGAGCCGCGATTAAGAACGCGTAGCCCCGAGCCCTCCACCCAAGTCCGCAATATGCGGCCCCTTACACTGTCCTCGGGGCAACCCCAGTCCACCGACTTGGAGTTGAAGTCCCCGAGGACCAGGATCTTGGGGGTCCTGCACTGTGCTACGAAAGAGCGTATTGCACCCAGGATCCTCTCAAACACGGGCCGCTTGTGACCCGGACTTATGTAGCAGCTCACCACCGTGAGTTCCCCCCACCGAGCGGCTGCCCATCCTTCTCCCGCCGCAAGGCGCTCGAAGGATGTGCCGGGCAGCCGCGATGGGGCCAAGATCACCGCCGAACTGCACCTGCTCGAGACCGCAGACGGCGGAATCGAGTACGGCTCAGCGATGACTATAAGGTCAACCATCCACCGCGCCGCACTGGCGACCAGAAGGTCTTGCGCAGCGGCGCAGTGGTTCAGGTTGGCCTGCATCACCTTGGTCGCAATGACAGTGGCGGATATATCCGCCATCATTTACGACCTCGGTGTCTTGGTTCCCGTACCAGTCCCTTTGCTGCGGGAGGTCCCCTTAACGGGTGCCCCCCGATAGTTGTCGCCCAAATTTGCGGGCGTCCCCCCAGAAGCCCCCGCGATAGTGTCCCCAGTGGAATCTTTTCCTCCTTTCCGAGGAGCCGCCTTGGGTCCCTTCTGGGACGCGCCTCCTCCCTTCTTCTGTTTGGGGGCACAGGATGGTGCCCCCAGACGATGTCCTGCCGGTCTCCCCAGGTCCGTACATAGCGGGCACTGGGGAGTCGCCTCGCACTTCGCTGCCGTGTGACCTGTGCCACCGCAGCGGTAACAGCGTCCGCTTCTGTCAGCGGTACTTGTGCACCGCTGTCTGGGGTGACCTACCTCCAGGCAGCGGTAGCACTGCAGGGGCCGGGTCGCTAGTACCTCGGCCCGCACGATCATCCATCCGACAACCAGGCCGCGCCCGTCGGATGCCGCGGCAATTCGCCGGGCAGCCGCGAGCGGGGCCTGGACCCACAGGGTTCCCAAACCCGAGGGGGCGCGTCGGATGTCGCCGACGCGTATGTCCCCCTCGGGACATCCTCCCGCAGAGGCAAGGGAGGAGATTACCTCTTCCTTGCTCGCGTCGTCCGATAGTCCGGAGACTCGGACTTCCACGCGCTTGACCGGGCGGGCTACTTTTATGCCCGTCTCGGTCAGGGCCTCCGCCATGCGGGCGGCCAGCTTTTCCGCCTTGGCGGAACCGCCTTCACCGGGAACCTCAAGCAGAAGTGCCCCGGTGGCGGCCCTCTTGGACCTGAGTCTTGTTAATCCGAAGTCGGCCAGCTTAATGGCCGCCTTCACAAGGCCCATTGCCTTATCGAGAGTGCACTCGCATCCCTCCGGCCTCGTCAGCGTGATCGCTGACGCCGGAGGGGTGCGTGGCAACCTAACTTTGGTCGCTTTTCACGACGTCTCGCCCTTCTGAGTCCCTTTTAGGGCCCTCTTCTGAGGAACCTGGGGGACCTGGACGGGCTTGGCCGCCGCGGACTTTGCCGCCTTGGCCGCTGCCCTCTTCTCTTTGCGGCTGACCACTTTAGACCAGACCTCCGCCGTTTGTACCGGGGAGGTGCCCGTGGTGGCGGCCGCCGTGACAGCCTCAGGCTGTTTGCTCGCGACGGGGGGTTCACCGCCCCGCTTCCTCTTCTTGGCCGGTCGAGGGCCGGATTCGCGTGCCGGCAGGGTGCCGGATCCGGGCTTCGGCTGAGTGCCGGTCCCGGGTGCGAGGGGATTGGGTCCCCGAGACTTAAGTCCCAATGCCCTCTCCCCCCCACAACAGCGACACCCCCCCTGACCTTGATAGCCCCCATGCCCCCCCTAGAACCCCTCTTGATACCGTGAGGAGGCACCAAGACCTCCTCTTTTACGATACGAGGCTTCGGTTTTGGAATAACTTTCGCCAAGATTTCTTGGCGGAATGCCCCTAGCTTCCTTTCCAGGAGCTCTTCGATCCTGGCAAAGAGATCTTTGCCAGGGTCGCTCCTCTCCTCCGTTCTCCTGTCACCGGACTCCCGCGGTGATGTGCAGGGAGCCGGCAAAGGGTGTTCCGTTCTTTGTGGCGGGGGGGTCTCTAGGCTCAGGACCCCCGTGTCTACTTGGTCACCAAGGTCCATCTTGGTGGCCTTCCTCTCAGGTGCCGGGTTTTTTGGCACCTTGAAGTTGACATCCTGGGGAGAGTCTTCCTTTTCCTCATCCGTGACGGCGCCGGTGACTCGCCATCTTTTGCCCCCCCTCTTCTTCTCGCGCTGGGGGAGCGGTGGTGGGTTGGGACCGTTTGGTCCCGTTTGTTGCGCTGGAACTTCCGGCAGAACCAAGTGGGCTCCATCCATCGCTTTCTCCTCGTGGGCCGCCAGGTGACCCGGGGTGGCCATGACTTGGCCGAACGTTGCGGTGCATATGTGCACCTTGTATGTCCACTGAGGCTTGGAGGCAAACTATCTGATTTCGGAGATGTTCATTCTCTAGCCTCAGCTTCGCGTTGTCGGCGCGAAGACCGTCCGCATCGCCAGTCACGAGTACTCGACGATGTAATTCGTCCGTCGTCTGTCTGACGTCCACCGCTACGTCTTTCAGATTGCGGACGAAAGTCCCCTTTAGGTTGCCCGATTTGCGGGCAACATCCTCCACCACCCCCATTGCTTCTTCTATGGAAGAAGCCAACTGCTCGACGGTGGAGAAGTGGGGGTCGCTTCGCGACGATCTGATCGTCCGTCTGTCCTCCCTGGCAGACCTTGGTCGGTCGGATGGGGAAGAGGAGGATCCTGGGCCTCGTCTCAACAAAACACCCATACGGGCTGCTTCGGCTTGGGCCCTTCTCTCGTCCGCCTCCTCTTGCGCTAGTTCTCGCATAGCGCACTTTGCGCAGCTCGTCGCGTGCCTTTCCTACGCCCGCAAATTTACCGGCGAGTGCCGGGTTTTTGGGCTTACGCCCGCGCGGGTCCTTCGCTGGTGTCGCCTCGCTCTCCGATGACGTAACGTCGGCGCACACCTGTTCTCCCTGGGCGATATGGGAGGGTGTTAAGGGGGGCTCCACTGCCCCGTTGTCCGTGAGGGTTGTTGGCTCCAACTCTATCGAGCCGAAGATCTCCCCCTCGGACAGATACCCCAGAGTGGATACCGATGAGCCGGGAGACATGTCCCTTTTCTCGTCCACCCTTTTTTTCTTCTCCGCGGCCTTCTTCGGTGACCTGGGGCCGGGGCGATAATTCGCCACCGGTGTCCCTGCTGCGCCGCTCGCCGCTGTCCTGTCCCCTATTGTAATAGTGCTCCTCGAGCCACTCCTCATCACATCGACCAGCTCTACTGTGGCTGATTTCAACCGGTCTCCCTTCCCGATGTGCTTCTCTTCTAATGAAGTGCTGGCGACTGCTTCGCCGCTTGCCTCCGTATGTTCGATCGGCGCTCTTGCCCCATCTGTGTTTTTTGTTCGTGTGTTATATCTGCAACTCATCTTTGTTTAATCCCACTTTCCCGTCACGGCTCCTGTCCCCCAGGGTATACCCTTACCGGCCAAAGGGTGCCCCGAAACATGACCGGCCACACTCCAAGGCCGGGCCCCAAGTTCCCCCGGGGAGAGGACGTACGTCATTGGCCGGGGGGATACCGCACCCCGGCCTGACCCCGAGCCCCTTACACACCCACGCAGGTTTTGACGCCTACGTGGGCTTTCAGGGGTCCCGCGCCTTTGACTGCGCGGGTACCGTGACGAGCGGCGCCACCCGGGGGGCCCCACGGACGCTTTGGACAGGGTCGCCGCTCCCCGGCCCTGCCCTACACGCCGTGGCGACCAGCTACCGTGTTACCCCTCGTCGAAGGCCTTCGACGAGGGGGGTGCGCCTCCCCGATCGGTCGGTTCGGAAGGGAAAACTGTTCCGATTGACCGGGGATATCCTCTCTCGCCGCCGAGCCCCGCCTCGGAAACGTCCGAGCGGCCCCGGCGGCAGGCGGCCGCGGCACCCTCCGGGCTATGCCCCTCGGGTAACTCCTCCGGGCTATGCCCCTTGGGTAACCGCGACTCGCCTTCACCGCCATCCTCGACCCGGATTCGGAAACGTCCGAGCGGCCCGGGGATGGCAAGTCGCAGGGACGCTGGGACGAGAGCACGCTCTCCGACCAGCACCCTGCGACTTCCCTCTCGCCGTCGAGCCCCGCCTCGGAATATGTCCGAGCGGCCTCGACGGCCGACCCGCGTGGTCCCCTCCGGGCAGTGCCCCTTGGGTAAACCCTCCGGGCTACGCCCTTTGGGTAACCACGCGTGGCCGTCTACGCCGACCCAGCCCAGGCCTCGGAAACGTCCGAGCGGCCTGGGTGCGGCCTACCCCAGGGACGCTGGGACGGGGATCTAGGCTACCCAGCCTGGAGACCCCCAACCAGCACCCTGAGGCACCTTCCTGTCCTCGGGAACCGCTCCACGAGTGGGCCCCGAGGACCGATCGACATGGCCCCCTCCGGGCAAAGCTCCTTGGGACAACCCTCCGGGCAAAGCCCCTCGGATGACCATGTCGATCCCTCCGCCGGCGCGACCCCCTCCGGGCAAAGCCCCTCGGGAAACCCTCCGGGCAGAGCCCCTCGGGTAATCGCGCGCGGCACCCTCCAATGCGGTCCCCGCCGCCGACGCCCACCCCCCACCCCCCAGAGGAAAACCCTAAAACGAACCCCCCCAGGGCGGAGAGGGGAGAAACCTTGGGCGGCAAAAGCCGCCTACCCGACAGGCGTGTCGGGCCACAGAGCATGGTGGGAAGGGAAGCGCCAAGCGCCGTGCAGTCCCTTCTCCTAACGGTGCCATGCCAGTGTTGTTAGACGGGCCCGCTTTTCTCGCGCATGCGCGGCGAACGTAGTATCAGTGAAGTAACTCCATATGTAAAAAGGTGTACCGTTAATCACCCGTATAACGTTCTAAGTTTATAATTTTATAATTTTGTAAATTTTTATAAATAAAAGATAAACAAGACGGAGGGATATAAAAATAACTTTAAACAAGATATATAACAAACTAAAAAATTTTATTTGGCAGGAAAATTATGGAATACCAACATTTGTTGCAAGGGTAAGGGAAACTGACAAAAACCTTACCAGTATTCAAAAAACAAAGGTACATTTATTAAAATACAAAGTAAAATTATTTTATAAATATGAAAATTAAATTTTTATATTAATATTTAAATTTAAAAGAAAATAAATATTGCGTCGTAGATAATAAACAATAAAAAATAAAAGTTGTAATCCTCCGTTGTACGTTGAGCCAAAACTTTCGCGCCCATATCACTCCTCTGCAGACAGTCGTCTAGATACGTGCCTGTTAATACTAGCCTAGCAGACGACATGGCCGCGCATGCGCGAGAAAAGCGGGCCCGTCTAACAACACTGTGCCATGCCACCGGGCGTTTGAATTCCGGGTCGCCATCCCTTACCACATACGAGCCGAAGCTCTAACGGGGAAGTGGGCCCCGTCTCCCCAGGAG